AGAGAGAGAGAGAGAGAGAGAGAGAGAGAGAGAGAGAGAGAGAGAGAGAGAAAGAGAGAGAGAGAGAAACAGACAGACAGACCAACAGACAGACCAACAGACAGACAGACAGACAGACAGAGACAAAGACACAGAGACACAGTGTTAATATAAAAAGTAATATGCATCTATGTATGTAATTGAAGTATTCAGGTATGTAAACGTAGGTTTTTCTTCTCCAGAGCAGGTGGTTGGGAAAGTACCACTTCTTTAAATTACCCTTTTTGATTTTGTGTTTCTATCTTGCTTTTTTGTTTTTGTGCCAATGTGCTTCTCTATTCAAAAATCAAACTCAACTTCTTTTTCAGACATTGACGAGTGTACCCAGAACCCATCAGTGTGTGCCCAGGAGTGCACCAACATTCCAAGCAGCTACTCCTGCTCCTGCCAACCGGGCTACAAAGTGCACAAGAATGACAGCAGCCAGTGCTATGGTCAGTCCTTTGGGGGGTTTTGTTTCTGATATAATTTAACACACTACTAAACCCTAGGTATGCATTGGATTCTCCTTTGAATGAAAGTATTTACACATCAGGGGTCTATTAGTTAGGCTGTGGAGCTCGCAATGGAAAAGCCAAGGGTTCGAACCCGATCAGGAGCCCAGTGTTGTGTCCTGGGGAGGCATGTGTTACATGAATTTTCCTCACTTCACCTGGTCGGAATGGATATTTGGTTATATAGATAGCAAAAGATCTTGTCAGTTTGTTAGTGTCTGTGGGTTAAATCAGCTGCTTGCACTGCATGCTTCCCTGGAAGCCGAGAATGTTTCTGAGTGTTTTAGGGTCCGGGGTAGCAATATTGATTGTAAACCACATGGAGCTTGCTGTTGTTGAGTGGGGATGGGTGCTATACAAATGCTATCTCTTACTAATATATTATAGCACAATCCTGTTGTCTTTAACACATTACACCCTAACTTGCCCAGGATCGCCCGGGAATTCCCTTACACGCTCCACCCTGACTCGCCCGGAAACCTCCCACGCCGACCTAGCGTCATTAGAAACAAAATCTCACCTTGACGAGATTCTGGGGCCGAGATTTTGATTTGCATAGACATAGCAAAAATTTTCTTCTTTCGTTTGAAACCGAAACGAAATTTTTCGGGCCAGTAGTTTTAGTATTAGAGCTGATCGAAGTGTGATCGCGTTCCTTTAGCTGTCTCCTGTGGGCCTTGTTAAGTCTTGACCTGTTTTGGGGTTTTTTTCAATTTTATATTGTGTGTGTACACAGGTCCTGTCTTTCAGGTTAATCTCTCTCATTTAAAAAAAAATTTTTATCAGTGTGTGCACATGGGTCATGTCTGTTAGCCTTAATTGTTACTTCTTGCTTGGTTTTTTACTTAATATGTAAAATGTGTGCATACTTAGGTCTTTTTCATAATAATAATAATAATACAGTTAAAAATATGGTATAATCCGCTTGTATCGACAGGCTTTGGGAAATGGATTTGATGTCGATATATATAAAAATGTTGATAAATGAAAATATAAAGCCAAAGAGGAAAAAACAAGGGAAGATCAGCGGTAAAAAGGCAACACTACTTTTTAAAGCTGGTTGCTTCCCTTGATTATTACACAACTACACAGTGAAACTAACAAGAGGCAGAGGGAAGGGGGCTTAGAGTTACAGTACCAAAGACCGAGCAACGCGAGGTGCACACTACACACCAGCGCAAACTTTATTGTAGCATCCTTGTAAGGCATGTTTATGGCCGCTTGCTGGGTAAAATGGAAAGGTGAGGCACTGACTCAATGACCGTGGCACTTGCCATCGACCGACTGGGAATGGGATGGGGAAGGGGAGTGAGCGATCGGGAGTGGGGGTAGGGAGGTGATGCCCAGCGCATGAGACGCTCACGTCTGTGAGGCACTGTACTGTGTTGGAGACTACACTGTGTAGGCCCTACATGACCTACTAAAGCCTGGTGTGTCGAATAGGCTACTTGACGGGTATGCGTAGGCCTACTTAATGAAGATCTAATGTGTTGACCGTTAGGGTGGCTTTTTCCCCCCATTTATGTTGGTGGGCTTTGCCAGGTACCCAGAAAGCATATCAATAAAGCAGAGTAGACCGAAAAAAAAAGTCGATATAAGAGAAATGGTTTAGAGAATATATTAAAGGAAAAATTTTGTTTGTCAAAATGTTGATACATCAGCGGTGGATATAAGTGGATTATACTGTAATAATAATGATAATATTAGAGATAATAATAATAATAATATTAATAATCATTATTATTATTATTATGATAATGATAATAATAATGGTAATAATAATAATAATTATTGCATTTATATAGCGCATATCCTTGCTCTACAGCATGCTCTATGCACTTTACAACTAATATTGCCCCAGCAGACCCTCTGAGAACACTCAGAAACATTCTTGGCTTCCTGGGAAGCATACAGTGCAAACTGCAGATTTCACGCCCTCAAACACTGTCAAAGTGACAAGATCTCTCAGTGTCTATAGCCAGGTACCCATTTTCACTCCCGGGCGGAATGAAGAAAATTCGAGCAAAGTGTGTTTCTAAAAGATGGGATTTGAACCCTCAGCTTTACAGTTGAGAGTCTGAGAGCTTAACTACTAGGCCACCGACGCCACACTCATCTATTCTTTTTTGCCTGTGCACAGGAGCTTTGTTTTCTTAAGTTTGTTACTTCTTTCACTGCTTTTCTGAAGTAGTGGGTGGTTGGTGGTAGCTCTGGTATGGCTTTTGCCCCTTTTTTCCTATCAAACATCAATCATCCTTATCTCTCCTCCATCTTTTTTTGTGTAGCCAACTTATATGACTTTATTGTCTTGCTAGTGCTATAAAAACCCTAATTAAAACTTAAAGTAAAACCAAACTCCTTTTATCTCTGCACTAGACTACTGTTGCTGTCTGGTTGTGCTTCTATTTAGTCACTCACACTCTCATTTAATGGGTTTTTTTCTACCTGTGCATTTACAGAGGCCTTGTCCACCAACTTTGAAATATCTCTTGACATTGATGCATCTGGCAAGAACTTGAATGAAAAGCAAGGTCCAGACTACCTGGAACTGAGTCGTGCCATACTGCCAGCGGTGAGGGAGACTGCAGTTTAGTTTGAGTTAAACAGATTACACTAAGCAAAAATCGTTTTGTTTGTTTTTCAGAGATGGAGCATTTCTCGTAAAGTCAAGTGTTTTAAGATGTTTGTTGGGGTTTTTAAAAGATATTTGATTTCCTCTTTCCCATTCATAATACTGTTGATTAACAGTGGCAGCCTTTCAGAGTTTACATTTAGGAAAGTAAAAGTAAATTCTGACTGATGACACACTTTCCTCTCTAGAAATGAAAGCAAGTCTACAGTTTAATGTCAGTGATCAATTGTTAATCATTGTCAGACCTACCACTCTTGAAAACGCATGAGGGAAACAAATGGTGTTCCTGCTAAGGCAGCTTATGCTGTACTGTTAATGTCCTCTGAAGTTGTTTTGTATACTCATGAAGTTCTTCACTTTCTCTCCAAACAGTTGCTGGAGGCATTCAGCAATCGCTCAGAAGCTACAGCAGAAGTTACCATCAATAATTTGAGGTGAGAGCTTATGCTAGAACTCCTCCTGGGAAGTAGAAAGAGTAGGGTCTCCATGCCCATGTGTGCATCCGTGCTCATGTGTATGTGTGTGTGTGTGTGTGTGAGAGAGAATAAGTGTGAATTTGGGTATGATAAATAATAGATTGAAAGAGAGAGGGATAGAGAGAGACAGTGTATGTGTCTCTGTGTGTAGGCCTACACTCTTAAGTGGGCAGTTGGAAGGTGCTTTTGGTAGGCCCGACTTCTTTTCTTTCTGTCTGTTATTTCTATCTGTCTATCTTGCTTTTTTCCTTAGCACTAAATGGCCGTTATCATGTGGACATACATCTCTTTGTACTTAAACTTGAACTCTTTTGCATGCCCCCCCCCCCCTCTACTTCTTTACTTTCCCTCTGTTTTTTCTTTCTATCTGTTTTACTTTTCCCCCAGCACTAAATGACCATTATTGTGCCAACAGTGTGCTTCTCTTTGCTAAAACAAACACCTCCTCTCTCCCCTTTCCCTCTTTCAGACATGGCAGTGTGATTGTGGATGCTACAGTGTTTGCGGACAAGGCTCTAGACACTCTGTCTGCCTCCCAGGTGGTGGAAGCTCTGGTGGCCATGGCCAGGGATGGCCTCATGGTCAATGGCACTATGGTCAGTGCCACGGTCACCCTGGGCGGTACCACTGGTAAGCAATAAGCTCCCTACTACATCATACCAACTGAAAAAATGTTTACTGATTTTATATGGAAACTAATTTTCTTGAATATTGCAGCAGCAGGAGAAGATGAGAGATATGTAGCCTACTTCTTTCATTTCACATTTGTGCAGCTTCATCATGGGAATTTTTTAAGGCACTAAAAGGGACAGCTTGGAATGAGCTTAAAAGCAAAGCCTGAAAAGTACACGAAGTTTTAAAAAAAATTGGTTTGGGGTTCTCTTTTTGTTTTTCTTTTTCACTACTCTTGATGTCATAAGATGCAGATTGAAGTGGTGAGGGAACATCACACAGTCATCTATACTAGCCGAGACTGTCCTATAAGGAACAGCACAAGGAAGGAGGTGAAGAAGCAGACAGAGGAAACGAAGGGATGACAACATCAAAGATTTGGACTGGCCATTACTGGAACATCATAGTACAGAAAAATGATGACCAAGAGGAAAGAAGAAAGCTGCTTACCAAAACTTCAGAGGTGCCGTTACAGTCAGCCAAATTATGGGATAGATTGAAGTGAAGATGTCCATCTGCAAATAGACTGCCAGTTTAAGACAACCATCAATGCTCCCTAAAAAAGTCCTGTTGAATTGTATAGAGATCAAGCCGAAACTTCCTGATTACATAGAAGTGATCGTCTCAACTCCTGTTGACCTCCGAAAATCTCCAGGAAAAATAAAAGTAATAAACGTCTACATCCAGCCTAAGGTTTCTTAACCAAATACAGGAAATCATCAAAGAAAATTATTTGGGGCAAAAATTTTACCTCAGTTTCCCCAGATATACTGCAATTATCAGAATTTCATAACTTACATTTATGTAGATTTAGAAATCATGCTATATATTATATAACATCATGTTAGATGACCTGTAGGCCTATTTATAAATAAAGATCTTTTCTTAATGAAGACCTCAGTATTGTTCTCCTTGTCCCACAGTGACGACAAATTCGGACAAGTGTGAGATTCTTGCCCTTGTAGAGCCCTGTTCAGCTGGGTCCTCTTGTGCTATAAACGCTGATGGCCTGGCTTATTGTCCGTAAGTCTTCCTTCACACACACACACAAACAAACAAACACACACACACACACACCCATAAATACACTGCTCACATGACTGCTTTTTTATCCACATGCTTACATTGCACACAGGCACACACACACACACACACACACACACACACACACACACACACACACACACACACACATACTGACATTTAATAATAATGTTCCACTTCCTCCTTGGAGATACCCAGCCCCCTTTTTGGGGGGTTCATATTACGTTGAAAATGTTGTTTGTGTTTATTTTGAGACCTTACTTGTCACAGGTTTCCATGAGTTCAATGTTCTGGAATGCACAGCAAGCTGGCTTTTTTAAGTGGGTGGTTGATGGGTGCTCTGGTGTGGTTTGCTTCTTCTTTCCTTCAAAAACTATACCATCCTTAGCAATCCTTTTTTTAATGAGTGTTACTTTCTAGTTAGTGACACCTCTAGTCTTTAGCCCTTACATGGCCTATTTATGTTGCAATGGATGTAAAAATCATACTAAAATTGGCTTTTTTTAAAAAAGCCGTTTGTATATATATGATCCAGAAAGCTTTTTAAATGGTCAGTGAATATCTGTAAGGATTCCGAATGAGAAAAAATTGTTTTACAACTCTGACTTGCTTTGTTTATTTCATTATCAGCTGTAGGTAATATATGTTTTGTATTGTTATTTTTCAGAGGCGAGGAGGAGGATTCGGGTAAGAATTGCACTTCATGACTAGACACTTAGACACTTCTTATATGTATATACCTTCTTTGTAATCTTCAGGTTTTTTTCTTGCAGGAGGGGCAAATCAAAATATATATACAAATGTATATAGCAATGGATGCTTGTCTTTGTTATAAGCATGTAGGATACTATGAAATCCCTTTTGATTTTTGTTTAGATATGATATTTCTAATGTAGCCTACTATTAAAGTATGATTTTTTTTTTAAAGAGGTACATCATCACATACTGGTGACACATCTAAAACAGAAGTACAGGGAAAGAAGGGCAATAGTCCATTTAAAAAAAATATGATTCCATATGACCCTGTGGATGAAAAGGGGAAAATGGTCTTTTTTGTGCTTTTGTGTTTTCTCTTTGCTCAAACAAACTTCACTCCACCCTATAAGGCTTAAAGGGCACCTCGCTTTGGTGGTAGTGTGTTTAAGTATATTTTCTATGTCCTGTTTACTGGGTGAGAATAACATAGTTTTGTTTTCTATATTCCTTTGCACATGAAACTGTAAGAAAAATTTCTTGAAAACTCAAATCAGGGGACACAGAATGTTTCTCTTCTGCCTTTTGAGGTTTCTTTCTTCCTCTCTTCCTTCCTTCCTTCCTCCCTTCCTTCTTTCCTTCCTTCCTTCCTTCCTTCCTTCCTTCCTTCCTTCCTTCCTTCCTTCCTTCCTTTTCCTTCATTCCCTCCTTCTTTCCTTCCTTCCTTCTTGCCTTCCTTCCCTTTCCTTCCTTCCTTCCTTCCCTCCCTTTCCTTCCTTCCTTTTTTTCTTTCCTTCCTTCCTTTTTTTCTTTTTCTTCACTCTTCCCTTGGAGCCATGTGCTCTGCCAGTGAGGGTAACAGAGCATGTACCACGGACTTTTGGAAGTGTATAAGAGCACTGTCTATTGGGAGTCATGTACTTGCTGAATGTTGCCCTCTTCATTTTCATGGGTGGTTGGAGAGCGCCATTTGTGGGTCCTATTTCTTTAGTCTCCATCTGTTGGTTCTGTTTATCAGTCTTGCTTTGCCCTGCCATTAAATAACCATTTTTGCACTGGTGTACTTCTCTTTGCTCAAACAAACTCTTCATAAACCCTCACTGACTGGCTACTAGTGGACATCGCACTGATTGTGGGCCTGTGTCTGGGAATCGCGCTGATCATCGCTGTGGCTGTGGCTGTGGGCCTGGTGGTCAAGATGAAGCTGAAGAACAGAGAGCAGCGCAGGTAAGTGTGCTAGTAACTCTGATAGAATTTAGAGAACAGGCCTGGTTTAATTGCAGCTGGTGGGTGGTTCATATGCTATTGTGTGGTTTGCTTCATCTTAGCTATCTGAGATCTGTCGTCCTTAATTCTCCTCTTTTTTTGTGTGTATGCTACTCTTTAATAACACCTCTAATCTTTTGCACTTGTATTAAGTATGTGTATTGCAAAGGACTGCACGCTTGATGGTAGAGACGGGGTAAGGCTGCATTGTTTTGTCTTCGTGTTGTTGATTACTGTTGCTCTATGCTTATTTTGTCAAATTGTTTGTTTTGAAAAATTTGAAAAGGCACCTTTCGATTGGTGCAGACGAAAGACCGCTCACGCTGACCCACGCAATTACACCATCTTGGTACCGGTAGACTCATTACCGATAAAACTCAAAAGGGGTGCTCATTGTGTTTCTCATTCTCTATCTGTCAATTTCAAATTCTCTCAAATTTCAAATTCAAGTCAATATAGACTGATCTTGATCAATGGGCGAAAAAGAAAAATCTCTGTTCCAACCCAATCTTTTTTGCTTCCCTCGATCTTCTGACACAACCGAAGCCATAACACTGTTCACGTATCCACGAACTACGGATCCCTCGAACTACCGAGGCCGTTCCTGACAAATTCGAGGTATCGTGTTAAACTGTATTTTTTTCAGACTGGGGATTACTGCTTTCATGATAAATTGCTACCTCAGAATTTAAAAGCTCTATCTGACATTATTGGCCATTTTGAGATACTAAGACTTCAGGATTCTGCTCCAGATTTAGAGGTCTGTATGTCTGAAACTGTCTGTTTTATTAATGTGTGTATGCCTTTGTTATTTTGTTCTGTTTTTCCTTTCTTCCCCACTCTTTCTCCTGTCTTTGTCTTTCGTTCCCTACCTTTCTCTCTCCTACTCTTATTTACTGTCTCTCTCATTTACTCTCTCTTTCATTTACTCTCTCTCTCTCTCTCTCTCTCTCTCTCTCTCTCTCTCTCTCTCTCTCTCCAAAGTGCCCACATACCTGCATATTATCTTTGCAGAGTGGAAAGCCGAGAGGGTCACTACTTCGACGATGACCTCCGCCCTCCATCTGCTAATAGCTATGGGGACATTCCTCCCTCCACTGCCCACCGAAAGCCTTCTGGTGCCAGTCGCATTGCCTGGGCCAACTCAGACACGAAGCAGCTGGTCCCGTAACCCTGACCCACGTCAAACATTCCTGGTTAGAATGTCAACTTCACATGGCTGAAGGAAGACAAGACTTAAATAACAGAAAATGTTGACTTCTTGTAGAAATGAACTGACAACACAATTGATTGATCTAATACATCATTGAAACAATGTAGCATGTTTACTCTCATATAAAACTCAGACTCTGTATACCTGTGCCATATAGAAACAGCTCAAAAGGCGTATTCTAATTCAATAATTCAACACTTAAGAAATGCAAGGGGCATTTACAATTTTTTAATGTTCAGACAACAGACTAGGCAGTCTGTCTTAAGGGAATGTGCTGGTAAAAAAAAAAAATCGATAAAAATTATTGTTGGAGCAAGTTTAGATTTTCCTGTATTTGCATTCCTGAACCATTGTTCTATCATTTGGCAGTTGAAAACAGCCCAATAATGCATTCCACAATAGCAATAATCTAGGTTTTTTAAACATGTGTAATTGACAATTTCATTTTTGGTTTGATCTTTCTCAGCCATTTTCTCAAAACTGAGTTTTTTGACACATATATATGCTTATAAATTACAATACAGAGAACACAACAGATATGAATTCTAACACAAAATTCAAACAAAGCTACAAACAGTGCAAACAAGAATCCAGCAGTTTCCCTATTTTATACTCAACCACAACATCTGTCATGGTAGCAAATACTGTGACCTTTGTTAGATGGACCTTTAACTAACATGTTAAAAGGATGTGAATGGATTAGGCGAAAGAAATAAAAAGATATAACAGAACCACAAAAAGGGACCAATAGTCCACTTCAGAAGAGAAAAGTCAGCTGACGTTCCTCGTGCCAGCAATTGCTAATAATGAAGGAAGAAACTAAGATTTTCTTTTTCTATATAAAGATTTTTTAACAAAAAAATGAAGTAAGTTGGGGAAATCTGAGGTTTATATTCAAAGGTGGCGATATTTATGCAAAGACCAACGTATAAAGGGCTTCTGTTTCCACCAATGGCAGCTTTGTACAGTATTCATTTTATTGTTAATTTTAACAAGTTTATGCAAAAATTGACTAGCCGAGTGTGATTTGACCTTGTTCTGTGACTCTTTTTTAAAGAATAACTCTTTGATTGATTAAAAGCTTGAAAATCTTCTGAAGTATTGAGCAAGCATGTTAGTTAAGAATGCTAAACTCTCAGGGGTTAGGTATGTTCTACTAATTACAAAATGACAAATTATGAAGTGGGAAATTTCATCAGATGTTGTGGAATTGATTTATAATATATTTTATTATTTAAACATGTAGCTTTTTTAAAACGTGAATTTGATTTTCAACATGTCTTTTTTTCCCCTCACCTTGTCATGCTTTAACAAAGCTCTCTGCTGACCCTGAGACTCTTCTGTTTCAAAGCACCACTGTTTGTATGCACTTGGAAAAGCACATGCATACACGCACGCACACACACACACATTCATATACCAGATACTCTCTCTAATGTTAATATAGACCCTGTATTATCCATTTTTGTATGCGCTCTTTAAATTTTCATGTTAACTTTAACCGTATTATGTGTGATATGTTATTGTGATAAACTACTCTTTCTTTTATCTTGCCCAAATTTTAATACTCTAAGAATCAAAACACATATCTTCCCATGCCAGAACTGGAGGCCTGACACATCTATTGTCCATTCATGCAAGATGTTCTTACAGTATGTTGGACTGCTTATATTTTATTGAAACTTGATTCACAAGGAACTAGATTGCACTTTCGCCTGCTATTTTGGAAAAACATACCTCAGCACTTATAGCTTCTGGTCCTCTTAACTTTGATTAGAACACTGAAAGGTAAGACGTTTGCATTACATCTACCCCGTGCATGTCGCTTATGTTGAAATGTTGTGCCTATTAAGTCCGTCCACTGACATGTCTTTCAAGGTAATTTTTGAGAAACAATATGTGTATTTCTATAATTAAGCCGGATCCGTCCATTAAAATATTTGTCAAACTTTTTTTAAGGGGATCTTATTTTTGTACCCTAGTTTTGACTAAAGTTTCCTTCCTTCAAGGCTTTTGAGACTATTTTGTGATTGTGATTGTCAACAGTAGAATAAAGTTTTTCTTCACTTATATGTTTTTGAGAGTGTTTTTTATGAAGAGTTCTCAGTTCTCTCTAAAGTCAAAGTCCAATGAAATCTTTATTATTTAGATTATTGGGAGCAATTTCCATAGACAGGAAAAGAGGGGAAGCTGGCAACAAACCTGTTGTGAGATGTACCGGGATTTAGATTCAAAAGAATTTTAACTTTCATGATGAAAACATTAATTTACAAAGAGGGAAAAAGTGTTTAGACTATGTATATATATATAGAGCCAATATGCAATTTCAAATTGTTTTTTTCTTTGGAAAACATTCATGTCCATGTAAATCACTGAACACCCCCCCCCCCCCCCCCTAGAATTTTAAGCTTTTTTTGCAGTTTTTGAAATGAAGAAAGAATGGTTGAGGAGTAATCTTTCCTTGTCTGACATTTAGTCCATAATCTGGATCAGTTTTAATTAGCGACCAAATGTAAACCATAAATTTTGGTGTTCAAACATTTGTCATCTGGTCCTGGACCTGCCACCACATCCTCAACCTTTTATTCTCTCCACTTTTTGAAATGTTACTGGATTTGCTTTGTGAAGACCTGCCCTCAAGTAGGCCTATTTTTTCATGTTCTGATTTGTAAAATTCTGCCTTAGACTAAGTTAGACTGTAAACTCTTTTGTGTGTTTTCAATAAAGCAAAATTCTCAGCAAAATTGTTCTCATTGTATATCAGTACAGTTCTATAGACATGGACTTGGATAACTGGGATTGTTCTTCTTCATAATCTTAAAACCAATTCACACTGTCAGTTGGATTCATTGGATTGAGTCACTGCAAGCCAAATATTACTTTGTGGATGGGGGCTAAAGCTACTATTCAGTTACAAGGTGACGGTACTCTACTAAATTCGAGTGTGACTTTCAACATCAAATGCATTTGTTTTTCTGGGTTGCGAGTCAAATTGGCAGTATTGTGCCAAGATGGAAGCTTTTGTCCCATCCGAGAAAGTAAATCTGGCAGGCTCCAACTCAAACTGATGAATCCAACTGGCAGTGTGCACTGGGTATAAAGCTGAACGTTGGGCTTGTAGAAAAGACAAGGAAGGGCATTTTTGTCTCTTAATTTGTTTGCATTATTGATAATATATTCCAAGAGATACATGGTTGATGGGAGCACTTTATTTCCACCGTGGTTTTACTCCAGGATTTAGTGTGGATGACTTGTTGTTTGAAGAGTTTTTAAGATTGTCCATTCACTGCACTTGGTCCAAACGGGGATATAAAATTTAAAATCTGACGTTTCACCCTTTAAATAAACTTCCAGCTTTGAAATGGAGGTTATGCCCTTACAAGAATTACCAATTACTTGTTCTATTATAGGCATTTTATTGTTGCTTGACCTGCTTGAAGTGTACTGGCCTACTATACTCAATGTTGGTCATTTTGAAGAAGGTGCTAATTATCCATTTGGCACATCAGATTCATATAGATGCTGGCCTGTCAGCAAACAGAAGAGAGAAACTTGTGAAGGGCTTACATTATGGTGTGAAGAGGAAGAATTTTTCTCCTCTTCATTCTGTACTATAATATAATTTATTTGATAGCCCTTCTTTTCAATCTGGCATATCAGGACTATATAAGACTCCTGTTTTTTGGTATGATTTCACTTTAGACACTCTTGAAAAAGATAACACTTGGCAGTGTTTTGACTCAACACCTTATATGTCGATATAAAAATACATTTATGAATGAATTTTACTGAAAAACGCTGATTAAAGGCACATCAAATACAAATTTGCAGTTTGTGGAAGTTATCAAAGTTTGGCGGCCTGTTAATAATTCTCACTTATATACCTCTGAATCCAGGTGACCCCACTTTCTTTGATTGCAAATAAATGTAGACTTCTATTCATGATAGATGAGCATTTTTTCATCAAAAGCAAGACAAATGAACAAGCTTTAAGATGACATCAATAACTTCACATCCTCAAAAAATTTATGAGCACCTGATTCTATCGCGTCGTGACACATATCATTGCTTTTGGTGAAGAAAAAGCCCCCATGCAAATGTGAAGAAATTGCTAACTTACTAATTGCAAAACAAATATGTTTAGAGGAAACTCATAAATGTCTTTGCGCAGCAGACCTAAAGTGTTTTCTTCAGCATATTATATATATATATATATATAGATCTACAGTCGAGTTTCGTTATACCACCAGCCCTGCTTACCGCCAGGTTTTGCCAAAGTAGCCAATGGTGTGAAGAGGAACACCTTATATACACATACTTTTTGCCCCCTTAAACTGGCATCTGCCAACTGCCGTAGTTTTATGACCCTTACTTAACTAATAAATATTATGTAAATTTGCCTCACAACACCATCAGTGATCTCATGCCCACCACGCCTGCCCGAGGTACATAAAGCACTTGGCACACATTTAGTAGCTTCGCAGTGTTGATCTAGCTTCTCCCACATACAGAAACGTAATATAATATATTATATGCTTTGGAGTATGTTATTAAGTTTTATTGAAGGATTTCTTACAAAATCTACCTCTATATGCATGGGACAAAAACACAAAAAGAACCGACCCACTGTAACAAAAGAAGGAGGGAGAGACAAAGGTATAAATAATATGTTGTCGTCCAACGAGATATATCAGCTAAGCAACTACGTTACAGACGTGTAAGCTCGTTTATTCTTATGGACTATTTTTTAAATCTATATGTCGTAAACTAATTACCAATTGGAAACTTGATAAGTTTGTGTGCACGCGCGCGCGCACGTGTGTGTGTGTGTGTGTGTGTGTGTGTGTGTGTGGGTGAGGGCGGGGGAGGGGGTGTATAAAGAGGTAACATTCCGGCCAATAAGGGTTTGCGTCCTCTTTTTAGGAGCTGACAAAATAACGGACACAACTTTCCTAACTGTTCAAAACATAGCTTTATTGGTTTTTCTCCCATTTCCTTTCAAAGGTTAGGCCTATATATTTTTTCCCCAACCAGTCAAACGGTCCAGTTCCTAGCTCTCCTTTTTTTTCGGACATTTCTGAAATGTGTTTGGTTTGGGTAGTGCCCGACTTGGAAAGGAAAACAATTGTTGACAACATTTTTTGTTGTTGTTGTTTTGTTTGTTTGTTGTTGTTGTTTTGTTTTGTTGTTTTTTGTGTGTTTTTTTTTTGGGGGGGGGGGTCGGCTCTTGTAAGGTAGGCCTATTCTGTTTGGTCTCTTTTTGTACAGTAGTTCAAATACAGTAGGACTACCGGTACTGGAAGTGTTTCCCATTCTATAATACCCATACGCACACGCACGCAACTATACATAGACACAGCACACGTGCGTACGCACACGCACACACGCACACACATACACACACACACACACACACAAACACACACACACACACACACACACACACACACACACACACA